CCTCTATAGAGCTATCTGGTCAGTACATGATCTGTTTGACCGAAAACTTGCCTGCTCATCTCTTAGCGTTTTATCAATGGCATCTTTTAATCTTTCCAAAATAATTCTACTTAATATTTTTTCAGGAACTGACAGCAACATAATTCCTCTATAGTTTTCACACTCCTGTAGATCATCTTTTTTTGGGCAGTTTCACAAGATATCCTTCTCTCCAGTGCTGGTATTTTTTCGGTCTCCCAGACTTTACAAAGTAATCTATGTAGCAATTCTGTTGATGTTTTTATGTTAGCCCTGATGGCTTTAGCTGGGATACCATCTGGGCCTGTCGCCTTTCCTTCCTTGAGAAGATTGATAGCTTTTCTAATTTTCTCTTTGGATGGTATCTTCCAGTTGATATCCAGTTCCAATTCTAAAGGCTTGATATCTGAGGGAACCTCTGGGCCTGGTCTATTTAAAAGCATTTCAAAATATTCAACCCATCTGTCCATTTGATCTTTAGTGTTAGTAAGTACCTTTCCTTGACTGTTTTTGATTGATCCAGTTGGCTGACTAAATTTACCTACTAATTGTCTTGTGTTACTGTAAAGTTCTCTGAGGTTTCATTTTGCTGCTGCTGTCTTCGCTTCTTGTGCTAGATCATTTAGATATTTCACTTTATCTGCCCTTATATGCCTCCTAACTTCCTTGTTGGCTTCTGTGTATTTCTCCTGAGCTCTAGCTTTAGCAGCTCTAGTTTTGCTATTGTTTAATTCTGCCTTTTTACTTTTCCTATCTTTAATCAGTTTAATGGTTTCTGGTGTTATCCATGCTTTATGTTTCCTTTCTTTCTTGCCAAGAACTTCTACTCAAGATTCATTCCAGATTCCTTTAATCTGATCCCAGCAGCTTCTGTACTGACATCTTCAGCTAACTGCTGCATCACCTGGTACTTATTAGCGACCGTAACTGAGAACTGTTCCTTAATTTATTTATCTCTAAAAAATCCTACATTATATTGGTTTCTATGATTATAAGATGTTATATATATTTTTAGTTTCAACTTGATTTTACTTACCACCAGGAAATTGTCAGTAAATACATCGGCACCTCTGAAAGCCCTAACATCGTAAAGGGATGATCTAAACTTTGTATTAATACATAGGTGGTCAATTTGATTAGTTGTCTGATGGTCTGGTGATTCTCATGTTGCCTTGTGTATTCTTTTATGGGGAAAAATACTTCCACCAATAACATACTGGTTACCTGCACAAAAATTTGTGAACAATTCTCCATTTTCATTCATTACTCTTAGACCATGTCTTCCCATAATTTCTTCATAACCTGTGTTGTCTGATCCTATCTTAGCATTCAAGTCACCCATCAAAATTTTTAAGTTGCCCTTTGTTTCATTATTTATAATATTTTGAAGCTGCATGTAAAATTCTTCCTTAACAGATGCATCTTTATCATTTGTCGGTGCATAACCCTGTATTACCGACATGTTCACCTTCTGTTTCACTGTTCTAAAAGTTGCTCTTATTATTCTGGGATTCACAGCTTCCCATTCTAATAGTGCCCTGTCTGCTTCTTTTGATAGCATCAGGGCCACTCCTTCACTGTGGGGCAAATTTTCCTCTGTGTGTCCTGAGAACAAAATAGTTTCCCCTGAATTTAGAATACTTTGCCCTGCCCCAGTCCATCTAGTTTCACATAGCCCTAAAATACTAATTCTATATTGTTTCATTTCCTTTGCTACTTCCATTGTTCTCCCTATATCATAGAGAATTCTAACATGCCAGGTGCCAATTCTGGAGGTTTTCCTAGCTGAGAGGAGGTACGTCAACGATCCGGACTCCTTACGGTTTTCTCCACACCGTGTCATACTTCTTCTATTAGAAGAGCCTCCCCTCATCTTGGTTGGCTGGATTTTACTTGCTTCTCTTTTTAACATCCATATTTGGTTGGTTTTTGTGGCTATGGTTTTTACAGGATGAGGTAGCCAACCTCAAGCCCAACCCTACCCTTAGTCGCCTCTTACGACATGCCTGGTAGGGTGCAGTGTCACTATTCTTTGCTTCCCGTGAGGGCCCCGGTGCGGCTTATTTTTGCTATGTGTTTGGCCGTCAGTGTTGTAACTCTCCTCCACCATCCCCCGTATCATGCTACTGGTGGTTTTCTTTTGATATTATCCTCATTTTTTTTTGGATGAGTTATCTTTGTTGGCACTCATTGCTTTTGAACTGATAAGTTTAGTGTACTCTGTGTACAGTGTACTGTCTCCCTACCTATCTCCTCTCTCTTTATCTCTGTCAAGGTCTCGCTCTCTATTTGTGTCTCTTTTTACTTCTCTTCCTCCCCACCTGTCACTATCTGCTCTCTTTCATTCGGATGCTAAGCATTTTGTTTTTTGTTTTCTTCTCTGTCTTTTTACCCCTCTGTACTGCCCTTTCAATGTTACATCTTCCTTTCTGTGTGTTCCTCCTCTCCCCCACCCATCTCCATCTCTTTTTTATCTGTTTCGTTTCCTGCTTCTCTCTCTCTCTCTCTCTCTCTCTCTCTCTCTCTCTCTCTCTCTCTCTCTCTCTCTCTCTCTCTCTCTCTCTCTCTCTCTCTCCCCCCCCCCCTTCCTCTCTCTCTCTCTTGAGGCAGACTCATGGAAACAAAATGCCATGGACCATGTTGTGTGAAAAGGGCATATCAGAAAGGTAATGAGACTGAAGGAAGAAATGATTGCAGAAAGGATGAGAGCTAAGCGTCTGAAAAGAAACGGATTAAACACATATGTTGTTAACAACGGTCCTGAAATCCCATGCTATCATTGTGGAAGACTTTTCTTGACACGGGCAGATCTTGCTAGTCACACTCGCCATCGCTAAGGGCTGTGAGTCTCATGCCTCCTCATAGCGCAGTATAACACTATCATCTGGAAAGATTTGAAGGTGCCAATGAATGACCCAATCCTGGGGTACTGAAGCTGTTCTGATTCTCTGGTTATACTAAAAAGCCATCTCCCTCAAGTCTTCATCACTCATACTCTTCATACGGGCATACCTGACCTCGTCTGGCACAGTGGCCTTTGCTTTTTGCAATATATATTTAATATCTTCAAAATGATTATCTCTAACTGAATTTTTAAGCTCCATATCATTATGAGTTTCCAAAACCTACGGAGTAAGTTATCCCTCCAATTTTGCTCATGTTCTCATTTAGCCTTTTTTTTGGGTGGGTGGGGGGGGGGAGGCATCTGCTGCACACCGATCTAACTCTTCTGCCTTCTCCTTTCTGACTCTGTCTAGCTTCTCTACATCCTCTTGTAACCTATGAGGTGCCTTATGTATCACTGTGGGAAAATTATCCACTGTATTGTGACTACGCTCACTGAGTTTAGTCAGTATTTTCATAATTGTAGTAGTTCTTCAGGCTGGAGTGCTTTAAGTACTGATTTTGCGTCTGTTAGTATTACCACTGACTGAGCCATGGTTAGTTTTAAGGAGCTTCTTTGTTGCTGTCTTGATTGCCCAGGTTTCTGCATCGTAATTATAATAGCACTTTCCTGTTGGTATGCTAGACTTTAGTCCTGGAACCATCTGGGTAAGCTGTGCCCACACTTCGATTTTTAACTGATAACAATTGATGATGATAAAGATCTTCGTCAACATTCTGCCTCCATTCTAATCTTTGGTTGGCCTTTTCTTTCCTTTTGGTGACACCAAGTGTTTGTAGCTGCCTGGATATTATCTCTCCACTGTTGTCTTGATCTGTAGTGTGGTCTACGACCAATCAACTCACTTGTGTACACAGTTTCTATCGCTCTATCATCTGACATTCTTTCAGCATGCCCCAGCTATTTGAGTCTGTTAGCCAGCATGATGCCAGTGATCAGTGGTGATTTAAATATAAATAGATTAAGAAAAAGACAGAATTTTGTTGTTGCTTTTCACTCTCCTTTCCCCACTGTTTACATTTTCAATAGGTCCAAAAATGTTATCGTAAGACTGTTCAAACAAATATTTTTAATAAGGCTTCATCTCTTTTGATTGTCCAAGTTTTTAGCCATATAAAGGAACTAATCTTATCAGCATTTTATATATTTTGATCTTGAGGATAATTATTAAATAAGCCACCCTGTGGCTAAAGAATTATTGTTGTGGCAGCAGAGTAAAAAAAAAAACAAAAGTTGGTAAAACCCGATAAATGTGATACAGAAGATCATATCCATATTATGAATATGGCATCTGTGTCTCAAATATTGCTGCATAGTTCCATATGGTGAAATCAGTTTTTTGTGGTGTTACACTCAGTAATAAAATTGAGCTGGTAGAAGCTGATAATGCTGATGTCGTATTTAGAAGAGGTCCACAGACATGAGATCACTGCAGAAGAGCTGGGACAGTTGTCTTTAAAAACCTTGGAAGGAAGGGAGTATGTTCCTTGGTTATTAGTTAGAAAAATTAAACAAAGCAAACATTTTTGTGAAAAGATATTGCAGTGGCAATGCTGTAGTAAATCACATAGTTTACCTTTTCAAAGACAGATCTGTGTTCATTTCAGAAACATTTTTAAGTCCAGACAGAAACGCATCTCATTTGACGAAATTTTTTTTTTGGCAGAGACCCAGTGTTTCAATCAGAATTAGTGATACTAAGGGACAGAAAATTAATAGCTTCATCTGTTTATTAATTTTTTTTATAAGATCATAGGCATGTTTATGTTTTGAAAATCTGAATTAATATTTGCATTACAATGTATTATTTGTTATGAAAGGTTAAGCAATAGTCTAGGTTTTGATCTATTGTACATTCATTCTTATAAGAATATGTTTTTAGTTTTTAACACTGGTTCCACTGCAAACAAAAAGACAGGCAATCACTTGTAGAAAATAATCCCTAATCTAAGGAATGTGGTGAAGTCCAGTGTGTTTGATCTTATCTCTGAAATGTAGACTAAATGTTTTTTGATCAGCTGCAATGAGCACAAATTGGCTGATGTCTACTATTTTTTTTTCTTCTTTCTGTTTGCAGGTCTTATTAGACGAATTGCATAATCAAGGAAAGCTGAACTCTATGTCACTCTGGATGGATCTCTTTTCAGTTATCAGCCAAGACATGAGATTTGGTCGTATGTTGGGTCAGCCTGGCTCAACGCCCCTTGACTTGTTTAAATTCTATGTAGAAGATCTGAAATCCAGATTTCATGATGAAAAAAAGATCGTTAAGGAGATATTGAAGGTTTGACAATGTTTTACATTCAGTATATAGAAAACAGTTTCATAAACATTGTTGAAATAAAAATAGCACAGTCTCTTTTCCCTATCTGTCTGACCATTTTTGTTTGAATGGGAGATTTTAAAACAAAATAAAGATTTAACACTAATTGTGAACAGTTTATTAGCATTTTTTTTAAATTAACTACATAAAGTGATATTTCTTTGAAACAGTCTCCCCCACCCCCTTTTTTTCTCCATCTTTTAAAATATATATTCCATATCAGAAAGTATATCTAAAAAGAATGTTATCACTTGTTGCACCTTACCCTTGCTGTTCAGTTCTGGGATGTAGTTCCAGCATGTAGACAGATTTAACTGATTGGTAGCTTCTTTGCAGCTTTATTTGTTTGAGGTGTATCAATGTAGCTGTTCCTTGAGTAAATATGGCAGGCTAAGGAAATATTCTGCAACATTGTATCTTCTGTACTGCCCAGACATTGTGCTACGGAGAGGAAACCTCCACTGTCATGCTGGGTTTTGTAACATTATCGTAAGGCTCTCTCGTCTTTTTTCTTTTTTAATTTTTCTAATAAATGTCTCCTGGGTTGTTTGTTAATTTTTTACTTTTTTTATTTTTTAATCACTCGCTACAGATCTATATGTTTAAATAATGATATGATCTTAGTGAGAATTTTCATTGGTCGGATATTTCACTGATGACTCTTTCACTAGCTGTTCATTCCTGACACACTCAGTCCAAGGTAATTGTTACTTTAAACAAAACTGTTTTGCTGGTCATAGCATTGTCATCTATTCCTCACCCTGTGCTGTCTTTCTATTTGCAACATACATTTATGATAGTGACTTTTGCCTGTTCCAGGAGCCATCTCTCTTCAGCCGATGTCCCTTTTTTTAATCACCCATCACTGCATTTTTAAGGGGTTTCGTTTGCTGCAACTTTAGTGTACATTTTCACTGGTAGCTGTCTGTATCTGTCTAAGAAATTACAGATTTTTTTCTGTGGTTCAGAGCTTTACTATAGAGAGCATCCATTTCATTGTTTTTGGGTTTTCTTCCACATGGCTTGACCCTACTCTCTGCCGAATAGCTAGCCACCTTGCAAGAGTGTCATACAATGTACAAACTATGTAGCTCCAGTGGCATTCCTTCGGGATCTTAAAAATTGCAGTAATTTATAAACTCTGTAGCTTCAGTGGCGTTGCTTGGGGATCTTAATAAAAATTGCACTCGTGAACTGAATGACTCAGTTTGTGAAATGAATTTGATCTTCAAATGTCTACATGTTGTTGTTTTATCATTGTGGTTCACGCACTGGAATCTTTTATGAGGATCATGACAATGTGGCAAAGATAGTTCTAACGTCCATAGGCATATACATAGTTCTGTGATTTTAATGCTCATGTGGGGGACACATCCGTTTGCTTTGGAAAGCATGTGTTACTTGAATGAAAATGGACAAAGGCTGTTGGAATTTTGCGTGAGAAATAACTCTGCATTGTGAACTGCTCATTCTAAACAAAATGTCCTCATAAGATATCAAGGAAGCATCCGGTGGTTTCTGGTATTGATATAAATTGTTGCTTTAAGCATATGCATAATGTTATTCTGATTTTTCTTTCTTCAGGATAAAGGATTCTACATTGACATATCAACCACATATGAAAGTTTCAGCAGTACCATATTGAGTGATAAGCGTTCTGCTAATTTGGATAGTGGAAACATTAAACTGACATATAACAGTGTAAGATAATGTCACATAAATTATGTTTACTTTATGAGTGTCAATGAGAAGCATACTGACTGTGTTTGCTTATAACATTAAGGACTTAATGAGTGAGGCTAAAGAACTCAGGACTACTCACTGTTGTTTTATAATCTTATCCTGCCCCCCCCCCCCCCCCCCCCCTTTTTCAGTTAAAACTAACACAAATGTTTTGCACCATCTCCTCTTTTTCCCCCAGGAATTACTATAACTAAGCATAGTCCCCTGGTTCATTATCTTAGCATAGTAGATACCTGTTGCTGTTGCCTCTTTATATTTCAGTGTGAATTAGCTTCAAACATGCTCTTAAAAACTACTTTGGTAACATTTAAAGTAAAACATTGGACTAGGTGAGTTGAGTATTTCAGCTTAAAATTATTGTCAGCCAGTGACAGAATGTTGGCATATGTGAAAAATTATGCAAGTTTTGATTGTCTGTTGTCTGTGAGCAGAAGAAGATATCTTTTAAGCAAGGATTGGAAGAATATATTGTTTCTACATTCAAGCCATCATCATCATATGCCCTGCTGATCACCCCAGTGGTTATCCCAGACAGCAGCAACCAGGAGAGGTATCAGTATACATCACCCATTAGATTGAATCAATTTTTTAGGGTCAGTAAGTACTTACTAATCATTTCTTCTTGATCCAGCACCTGCCCCTGGGACAGCTCCTATCTACATAATCATGCTATAAGTAGTTTAACTGAATGCCTAACTTTCTTTTGCTGTCTTTTCATTTACCTGTACTGTGTTTGCCCACGATGAAGGCACCGCACAAATCACTGAGTCATCTGCCTAGATGATGGTGTCACCTAGTTAAGTGTGCTCATGAATAAGGGCCTTTATTTCAGCATCAGTGACTGCTTGGTTCCATTTTCTGCAATACCCGCCCAGGGTGATTATTACCTCAACTATGCTACTGCAATTGTTCTGGTGTTTCTGCACTGAGCCTGCCCTGTTCAGGGCAAATTTGGCTAATTGTATCCTTTGCTTTTACTATCCAGGTACACTCTGTCTTTAGGCACTTACTTCTGTTCACTCTAGGCAGCTGTGCAGAGAGTGTTTTATGTCAGCAGCAACACAATGGTACACCTTCACCTGATGTGGTCCTTGCCACATCTAGGTAGAGGTTTGAGGTAACTGGAGCCAGTCAGCTGAAAGTGATCAGTTTTTTAGCTGTCATTGTATAAAGTGCACATTTTCACAAGCTTAGTGTCTTCTAGGCTGATTATGTCACCATATATCAATCCTATTGGGCACTGGTTCAATATTTGCTGAATGGCCCAGGAAGCCTATGATATGGTCCCTGTAATGAGACTGCTCCCATAGTCAGGTTTAATGGAATGTCTGTCCTTCTTTCTTATGTCTTTTGTCCTTATTTTTATGGTCTGTCTGTCTGTCTGTGAGTAACAATTCAGAAAGGCCTTTTGCTTTTCCTGGTCTGTCTGCAGTCAGTTCCTAACGCTCACAATGAAACCTTAGAATATTGCCGCTGTTCTTATATCCATGCATACATTTTTTTCTGTTAACAGAGCTTCTCAATTGAATGGGATCAGTAGCTATAAAAGCTACACACCAATGAACCATTTTGTAAATTTACAAAGAACAAATGACCTCGAAAGTTCAATAATTTTAAATTGTTTAATTATACTTCAGCTCCTAGAGAAGGCGGAAGCAAGAGAAAAAGAAAGACTGAAAGATGAAGCAAGAAGGGTAACATTATTTTGTAGTATTAATAGTGCACATGTATACACAGTACTTCACAAAGACTTTGTTACCCCACCCCTTCTCTTATACACACACACACACAGTGTATGTTCACAGCTAGGTCACTCACATGATTTTCATAAAATGAGTAAACAATATATAAATACATATTTTTTCTAAGTAAAAAAGTAAGTAAAGGTCCCTTTTTCTTGCCCTGAGGGCTAGACCTATATTTTCATAGACAGATTGGCACAAGATGGGTGGTGTGGTCAGCATCATGCTTTATTTCCCAGGACTGCACTCGGTACCCACTCAAGGCTGGGTCGACCTAGAAGTCAAGGTCATTTTTTTAAAAAGTCCGGTTCGGCCGTGGAGCAAACCCCTGACCTTCTGATCTGCAGCGAGTGTCTAGCCGCTATGCCATGTCAACTCCCATTTTTTCTAATTAATTTTTTAAAAATGTAACGTGGTTAAGTCATATATGCAAAATGTCACAATATAAAATCAATATTTACAACAACACAAAAGACAAATGTTTTATTTAAAATACATCACATAATTAATTGGGGCGAGGGGCTCAAAAATGTATATATATATATATATATATATATATATATATATATATATATATATATATATATATATATATATATATATATATATATATATATATATATATATATATAAATTATTTGTTTCTATAACTGAATCTAATATATACAGAAAATAATTTTTACTTTTGACAAGTTGAGTAATATACATCGTTGGCTAGGCATGACACACTTATTTTTAGTTGTATAACATTGTACATGAATTTTTTTCAAAGTATTAAATTTTGAATGTTCATTTAAATTATTGGAAATAGTCTTTTTGTGTATTAATTATGTGATGCTTTTTAAATAAAAGCTTCTTCTATAAAAAGGTTTTAAAGGTATAATTTTCCCCCTCATTTTTTAGTCATAATTACACTTCATCATTGCAGTAACTCTATTTTTAAATTATTCTTTCTCTTGTTGTATATACTTCCATGACAGATTTCCTTTTAGCATGGTTAGAATCTGCCACAAAATGCTAATACACATAGATTTAACTCTTAGTCATAGTCAAGGTTTCAACTTTACTGCAAGCGGGTTTTCCCATACTTGCTCCGGTCCTGTACAAATCAGATTAAATGTCCCACGGTGGGGCATTAAAAAAAAGTGAAGAAACAGTTAGGACCCAGAACAAACCAGAAATATATGCACACAGTAAATACAACTTTAATTTGCTAGAGGTGCTAAGGCAAATAGTCGCCACCAGAAATGCACTTTGTTGTTGATGGAAATAGTCGGGCATGATAAGTTGGCTACTAACACGTACAATTATTACATAAGGTATTTTACCAGCTCACCTGCGGATTTGTAGAAGGAAAATGTACAAACATTGCCATGTACATCCTCAGGGATCTTTTGGAAAGAGCTATAGAAGTAAAGAAGTAAAAAATAATCTTATGCTTCATTGATTGAACAGAAGAATCCTTAGAATTCCTGGACAGCTAAGAAAAGCAACCCAGATTTTTTAAAAGAGGTGAATCCTTAAAGACAACTTACGACAAATGTGGGAGACAGTCATCACTTTTCTGTCATGTTATGAGAAAAGGAAAAATTGAACACGTCGCTACAGATCTGTGGAGAGACAGAGGAAGACAGCATGAGAAGATTCTTGACAGTCTTTTGTCACAGCATTGAAAGGTGTCAACACATGAACTGATACATGCAGTTGCAAATTGTGGAGAGGCATGATCGCCCACACTAGAGCAAGGCATTTGATAATAATGCTTCATTGACTAGGCAAAAGCATTTGATTGTGTGAAACAATGAAGAAATAATCATCAAAATAAACATTGATGGAAAAGATTTACAAATTATAAAGACCTTTAATTGGCAGCAAACATTTCCATTTGGGAACATTTCAGCGCATAAATAGGGCAGTAAAACATGGACGTCTATTATCACCTAATTTGTTTTCATTTTACAGTGAGTATATAATGAGATCTATCATGGGTATGCCAGCAGTTGTGGTTGGTGGTCATAAAATAAACAACCTGCATTATGCTGATGACACCGTTTTGACAGCAACAAGTCAGAAAGAACTACAGGAATTAATAGATTTGGTGGTAGTAGAAAGTGATAAAATGGGCCTCAGTCTGAATAATGGAAAGACAGAAGTAATGGTGATTTCCAAGAAAAAAATAGTGCCTAAATGTATAATAAAAGTCAAAAGCGTTATTTTAGGACCAGAACAGAAATTTAAATATCTAGGCACATGGATAACATCAGATGGGAGATGTATCACAGAGATAAAGAACAGAATAGGACAGGCCAAAACTGCATTTTATAAAATGAAAAACATTGTCATTGAAGGTTAGGAACAGAATTCTTGCATGCAGTATAGAGCCAGTTTTAACTTATGGCTGTAAATCCTGGACAATTAATAAACAAGTTGAACAATATCTTGAGGCATCAGAGATATGGTTTTATAGTAGAATCTTTATCATTCAGTGGATAGCAGATAACCCAGATGTTTTGAAAAAAAAAAAAATGATTGCTCGAAGACAACTTATCACAAACATCAAAAAAGAGACAGCCATCATTCTTTGGTCATGTTATGAGAATAGGGAAAATGGAACCTGTTGTGACCACTGGACAAATTAGTGGAAATAGAGACAGAGGACGACAACGTAAGAAGATTCTCGACAGTCTTTTGTAGTGGTTTGGAGGGATGTCAACACACAAACTGATACACATAGCTGCTAATCGCAGATTGTGGAGAAGCATGATCGCCCACATCGTTGGCAAGGCAGTTGATGATGAGGTCAGTCCTCATAATGCTGACTCTGGCATCCTGACTTTCGAAAGGTTTAAGTCAAGTCACTGAGTCTCGGTAATTGCCCAGCTATTTTCTGAGTATTAAAAACGGAAAGATATTCGGAGGGTTTTCCTTGCAAATATAGTTAACACTATAACCATCTAATATTTTTTGACATCAGAAATTATCAACTAAAAAAGATAAATATTTTATCAACACATTTATTGTCGTTCACAAAACATAATTGTGCAGAATTTGAGCTCAGTAGTTCATCAGATACTAGATATACAAACAGAAACAAAAGCAGAAAAGTGATTTTCACTATTCGGCCGAATATGAATACGAATAGTGAATCATCATCATCAGGTGCTTTGCCGACTGGCATGGGCCATTACGCCTCTCCACAATCTGCGATCTCCTGCAGCATGTATTAGTTCGTGTGCTAACACACCTCCATGTCATGCAACAAGACTCAAGCATCTTCTCTCGTTGTCTTCCTCTATCCCTCCTTCCACATATATTTCCAGTAGTCACCACACGTTCCATTTTCTCTTATCTTATAACATGGCCGAAAAATGATGACTGCCTCCTTCTGATGTCTTTGAGTAGTTGTCTTCGGGCTCCCGCCTCTATCAAAACCTCTTGGTTGCTTTTCTTTTGGCTTTCCAAGGTATTTTAAGCATTGTTCTGTAAAACCACATCTCTGAGGCCTCAAGAAATTGTTTGGCCTGTCTTCCGATTGTCCAGGACTTACAGCCATGGGTTAAAACTGGATGTATGTAGCAAGCAAGAATTATTTTTCCAACCTTCAATGACAAAGATATATTGCGTAAGATGTTCTTCATGTTATAAAATGCAGTTTTTGCCTGTCCTATTCGGTTTCTTATTTCGGTAATGCATCTTCCATCTCATGTTATCCATGTGCCCAGATACTTAAATTTCTGTACTTGTCCCAAAATAAAACCATTGACTTTTATTGCACATTTAGGAATAATTATTTTCAGTGATACCGCCATTACTTATGTCTTCCCATTCAAACTGAGGCCCATTCTTCCACTTTGGTGTATAAAATAGATCTAAAAAAAAAACCCATCCAAAATGTCAAATGAACGCTGAAATTTTACTTCACAAAATGTAGTACAGAATAGTAAACATTTAAAAACATTTCATGTTTTGCATCCTTCACTTAGTCAGTCTGTGGTAACTAATACCTAGGAATGAAAGTATTCTTAGTTTTATAACAAGTAATTACACTTGTAAATTGTCACTGACAGCTTAGTTAATCCATGAAAGCGGCATTAGCTTTAAAAAAAAAAAATCGTTCCATGCTGTCAGCAATAAGGCAGCCTCTTGTCTCACTGAAGGTATTTCCAGCTATACTGAACAGACGTTCACTTGGTACGCTCGTAGGTCGTGCACAAAGATAACACTTGACAGTATGAACCAAGGTGGGAAATCTTGATATGTTTATTTTCCACCAGTGCAGAAACGGGTGTAAGGTAACGACTATTCGTATTCGGCCTGACCGCAACTATTCGGCCGAATACCGAATAGTTATTAGGTCCACTATTCGGCCCTGAAGCGAATACGAAGCAAATATTTGGTACAGCCCTAATAGAAACATACTTTAACATAATTTTGTTTTTTCATTTTCAGCTGAAAAAATTAGAAGCAGCATTTAAAAGTTTGCTTGGAAAGCACAACATACAACTGGAAACAAAGTGGGAAGATGTAAGTATTGGTGATTTGTATTAGCAATCATGGATAGTTGGTAATTCAAAGATATTTGCACATTAAATGATTAAATTTTAACCACAGGTGGTTTTGTGTTGAGACATAAGAAGCATGAGTAGTAAACACATATCTTGGATTTTTCTGCCCACACACACTTTCTCTCTCTGTTACTCTCCTCTCTGTTAACCTTACTTTCTACCCCCCCCCCCCCCCCCCCCCCCCCCCCCCCCCCCCCCCCCCCCCATCTCTCTCTGTCTGTCTCTCCCCCCCTTTCCCTCCCCCTCTCTCTCTCTCTCTCTCTGAGCTCTCGCTCTCTCTCTGAGCTCTGTCTCTCTCTTTCTCTCTGAGCTCTCTCTCTCTCTGTCTGTCTGTCTTTCTCTCTCTCTCTCTTTCTCTCTCTCTCTCTCTCTCTCTCTCTCTCTCTCTCTCTCTCTCTCTCTCTCTCTCTCTCTCTCTCTCTGCTCTCTCTCTCTGGGTGTGTGCGCAAACATTCTTTGCCATCAAACCTTTAAGTAATTTTCCTTTTCTTCTGCACTGATAATTTCAGATTAGGTCCAGATTAGAACATGATCCAGCCTTCGAAAATATAACTCTGGAAGCTGAAAGAATCCGACTGTTTAAAGAATACTTAACAGCCATGGAAGAAGTATGTTCCCATTATCATCCAAAGAAAAAGAAAACCAAGAAACACCGGTCTAGAAGATCTCGATCTAAATCCCATTCAGTAAGTTTCATTTGAGAAATGTGAAAATCTTCATGGTTTGTTCTAAAACAAAATAAATGTAAAATGCCTTTTCTTTCCTAACTTGAACTAGGTTTCTCCCATTAGTTAAATTATTTGTCATTTTTTTTTTAATCAGTGTATGTTTCATGTAAATAGTTGTAATGTAAAACTCTCGTTATCCAAAAAATCCATGTGGATGTTGAAAACTACCATTTGTGTATACTCCAAGCCACTCACAATTACAAAATTACCATGAGGCACAGAAATGCTGGAGGTTTCTGCTGTTAAGTGGTTGTGCTGTTTACCTCGTGATGTGAGGTTTGCGGGTCCTTGGTTCATGAGTCCAGATGTTCCGGAAATCCCCAAGAGTGTCTGCCGGAGCTTTATATATTGTGCGGCACGCTTATAGGTGATATGCCACACTGTGTAGAGAATCTTATGTAAGGAAAGAAAACCTTATGTGATCAGACTTAGTGCAAAGATGTAATCCTCTCATTTTTAAACATCCTTAAAATGGAAGCAAAAACAATCAACAGTGTGTCTGGCAGGCACCATTGAAACATTGTGCCAAAAATTATACTAGTGATGACAGTGATTTTGTGTATGTGTGTGTCCGTGAGATATTGTTTGTTTTGGAGCACTCTGGTGGTAATTATATGGTCCAATTATTCTGCCTGCTTGTTTTAAACAATTTTTAAAATAATTATATCACAAAGACATACATTTGTGTTCTTGGTAAGAGGCTTCTGTATATTGGTCAAGGGTTCACTAACTTAAATAAAAAATAAGGCATGACCGAAGGAAAACTCTTCTCTTCTTTATTAGAAACATGTGAGAGGCGTGACAGAATTAAAGCAAATGTTAATAGGCTATAATTTGTACATCAGAAGTTGCCATTTTCCACACCTTCCCATGGGTTAATGCGATAAATGAAATGGTTTGGATGAATTTTTCATTATTTTCTTTATGTATATGGAAAGTTTAGTTTATTGTACCTTCAAATCACTTGAAGGTGGCTTATGTGTCTGTTTTTTTTTTTATAAGCGTACGTTGAAAGTGCACTGCAGCTTTGTCAATAGCATTATGTTCTGAATACACCTGCATCCCGAACTCTTTGTGGTTTCCTTCACAGTATTACTGTTTTAAATTGCTGTCTTCACTGGTCTGAAGTAGATTCTGAAAAATTCATGATTATTGCCAAGGCACCCCAAGCATACTCTCGGGGCACCCCTAGGTGCTGTGGCACCCAGTTTGAGAACCGCTGCCTTAGGGTTCCACCAATCAGTTGAGACATTTTGTTTGCATCTGGGTGTGTGGCCTCCTCTTGAGTAGATCAGTGACTGGCATCTCCTGGGCATGGATGCAAACAGATGACTGATGTGGTCCTGTGGGATGGCTGCCCACACTTCATTGAGTGCCTGGAACAAATCAGGACCATTAACTGCAGCAACATCTCGGCAACAAACACGTCTTTGCATCTCATCCCACAGATTCTCAATCGAACTCATGTAACAGAGCTTCATCAACACAATTTTGGGCTAAAGCTTCATTTCGCCTGCGGTAGACCCTACACGGTCTGTCATGATGCTGCAGTAAAAGGAAAGATCTGTCACTGAGCCAAACATGCCTCTATTAATTGTCACCTGCCCAGGGACGATGTTGGTTGGCCCCAAAAAGTCAGTTTTAGTGGTGGTGGGTCCTCAGTATTGTTGTCGTGTCCAACGTCATGCAGTCTGCCCGAACAGTTTGATCTGACACATGATGTCCTGGAGACAATGCCTGTGCAGTTGTAAACCAGCCTCTGAGGTGAATAAAGCGATTCTCTGCCGCTGCTGTCACTATAGGTCGTTCACTGATGTCAGTCTTCAGCTGAACCAGTGGCTTGAAACTGGTGCTACAGTCGACTGATGGTACTCTGATGCATGTTTAAATGCCTGGCAACCTGACTTGAACTTTCTCCGACCAATAGCAAAATTTCTTAAATTTATCAATGGAGGTACCCTTCGTGACTGCTTGAAAATGAATGGAAAGTTTTGGTGAAGCTCTATCCTTTTATAGTTGAGTAGGCAGTAAATAGTATTCACCCAAATTGTGTTGCTTCGTCATGCACACATCATGATCTATGTTCATATGGTCTGAAACACAATTGACCACTGTGTTGTAATGATTATAAAAACCCACACTATTCACACCCCCCCATGTCCACTAGCTAGACACGGTAAACATTTTAGTCTGCTTCTCACATACCTGAGCACGATATTTTATTTACAAAACTAATAAAAATTTATTTTGAATAGCCATGCAGTTCTGTTTTTTTTTTTTTTAACCGTTTGTAAATGCCTTTTTCAACTTCTAGCAATCTCAAATGCAATAGCCTTGTTTAAATTCTGTCTCATATCAGTGTTGACACAGATGCTCTTCCATGCCATGGTTTCAAGCTGCTCAGTATCTTCTGTCATTATCTGCGTGTATTTTTCCAACTGTACAAAAATGGTGTTCAGCTGCAGTTGTTTTGGTCATTCTGATTACCCTTGTTCTTGTCAATAGTTATGCTCAAATGTATGAAATCCTGTTGGACCAGTCCTTCACGTCAGCATTGTGTTTGTTGGTAGCTGTTGAATAAGTTGGAATATGTATTTCCAGCTCCTAATAACCTCTAAAAATGTTACAATTTTGCGTGAAGCAAGTTCGTCAATACCATGATAAACTTTTACCATGTTGGAAATATGTCCAGATAGTAAAAAGTTGGTAGATTGGTTTAGTCTCAGTCGAATGAAGCTCTGTCCATCTGTTTCTTTTTATTGGTAATAATTAACCCAGTCAGATTCTTTAGCTTTACACTTTTTATCATATTTGGGCCGATAGCCTTTTTTTAAAATCCTCTAATGACCACCCCGATTCCGTTATTACTAGCATTCTGAATGTTTCACATAACTGGATCCAGTTATAATATGCACACTGTGTAATGTGGTCAAAGTACCACCATCGCTAGGTTTTTTTTTGCTATTACATAGTAACATTTTACATACTGTTCTGTATGTCAGCAGACAGCTCGTTTCTGCAGAACAGTGCTATTCGACTACCAGACATGAATGTCTTGCAGTTGTCTTTTCAGCTTCTAAACCTGCACAGAGATAACCAGCCTCTGCTAATTTTGAAAACAGGCTGTCCCAGAAATAACAGAATTGTGCTTTGGGCTCTAACCCTGCAGAATTATACTTTTCTCACATATTAAAAGACACTGAAATAACATTGCTGATCTGCTTAGTCATTAATAACAGTAAACTTTGTATTCTGACAGTCAAAATTTGTGATAATCTATTGCTTTATTTCTATACTCGCTTTTCCCCAGTAGCCCCCCCCCCCCCCCCCCCCCCCCCCTTCCCTAGTTTTTGTGACTGTCAGCAAAATATGACCAAACCCAACTTTACAGTACAACAAGTTGAGATCAGTGTTGATAATACTGAACAGGACTATACTCGGCTTGCTAGCTTGCACTGTTTTGATTCTTTTTTAATTAATACTTTGTTTGAAGACAGTTCTGACAGCTGTGCATGAAACGGGTCACTTACAGTTCTCCTCTGAGGAACAATTAATAACAAATATTGGAGTTCGACTGTATATGTATAATTTAATTTGTCTTTCTTTCTCTCTTTACAGAGTGACACTGATGATGGCCGTCATCGATCTGTAAGAAAAAGGAAACGCTATTCCAAATCACATTCAGTAAGTGGTGGTTCTGACTCAGGACGATCGAGAGGTAAGTTTTTCAGTATCAGGTAGAAGAAAGAAAACTAAGTACAATGGTACCTCAGCGTACATCCGCTTTGGTATACAACCCTTGTTTTGAACATGACCAGCATGCTAGTAGAATATGTGAGTCAGTTAAACTGAGTCCTGGCACCTCACACTACCCTTGTTTACCTCTCTCATTAATCAGTTCAGTGTTTGCCAATTGGATGGATGTCGACAATTTTGCAGAGACGTACTATCGTTGCAAAGCTTACACATGGCTGCAATAGCATTGCCTGGAATAACCAAGCTGTAATATTTCTGAAACATTTTGTGGTGAAGTTAAAAGCAAATTACTTTGGACAGATTTTAAACCTCAACCAAGTCCAAGTAAGAAAAAAGACGGGAACAAAAAAGGAGAATAAAAAACAAAAATTTCAAATTCCTAGTTTTTTTGGGATGGTGATTCTTTTTCCAAACAGTAGCATTTTCTCCTCCCATCTTACTATCATCCTAGTAGTATTTGTCTTTTCTCAGCAAGGGGAGTTTAAATTTTCATTTATTTCACAATTCCTTCTGTATCTATCTGTTTTAGTATTACAGTGTTTAAAGTATTTTATACAACTGCATCAACGTCAGTGCCAATAAAGATATAATTTTTGTAGGTCATGGGAACAGATTAATCATTCTCCGTTTATTTCTTATGGGGCAAATTCGTTTGGTTTACATCTTGTTTGATATAGTTTGAACAATATGGAACAGGTTAAGGACATATACTGAGGTAACACTGAATTTAAGACATGTAGTTCAGTGATGTGTGAATCGTGGACTATCTCCCAGTCCTTAAGAAAGAGAATAGGGGCTTTTGAGCTAAAATGCTATAGAAACATTCTCAGAATATCTTGGACACAGAATTATAAAAATACTGACATCTTGAAAGATCTGAACATCAAGGAAGATTTGCTGTTAAACAGCATCTAGTCTCAGGAGCTGAAATATTTTTGTCATATCAAGCACCACGACGGATCGGAAAAAAATTATAGCAAAGGGTTTGGTACCAGGAAGGAGGTGCATGGAGCTGACCGACACGAAGATAACCACAGGATTTTAGTGACTCCTTGAGTATGAAAGTACATGAGGTGGGAGAGCTGGCGAGAGACCGAGTTTCTTTCAGGTAGACCGAGATAAGAGCGACGTTGTGCAAAGGACCTGCTGCATGATGATGATTAGTTCCATGCACTTTTATCATTATCCATTTGTTTTGTGGGCTGATGAAGGCTTTCTAGCTGCGATGATAATTTTGTCATTGGTGACTTATATCACAGTATGAGATGCTAAGGTATTGCTGCCATATTCTTCTTTTTGGTTTTCACCAGCTGTAAATTCCAGGGGAAAGCCTTGGCTATCAGTCACCTCTGTACCTTGGTCTTATTTCAAGACTGCAGTGTTGCATGCATGTCTGTTTTACAGATTTTACTTATGAAGGAAATTCCAATCCTATCTATATTGCCACATGTACATTCATTTTACAGAGCTGGCTTATTTGTATGCAGACTGTTGGTACCTTGCCCAGGGTTCGTAGCAGACCAGGAAAACTTGAATTAACCGTGAAATTGAGGCTTGACCAGAAACCTTAATTTTTGACCTTTAAAAAGACATTCCGACCTTAAGAAGCTGTGAATTTTGACCGATGCAATGAGATCGTCGTTGGCAGTTAGGCTTGGGGGGGGGGGGGGTATTGGCTAGTTTTGGCTACTTCATTTACGGTCGTTTTAGATATGGGGGCAGATGATTATCGGCTATTTTCAGCTGAAATGGCTTGTTAAAGGCCAGGAAAGGCAGGGCTGTGTTGCAGCTTATGGATTCAGGCAGACAGCAGCAGCGTGGCATGAGGCGGGAAGGAGCAGCCGCCATCTCGTGTGCCTTTGTTTCTAGTGGGTCCGGCAGTATTAATAGTATAAATAGCTTTATGGCTGTGGTTTCTAGAAACAATGATTACATTGGGAGATAGTGGGGCTAAGCAAAGGGACGCCAGCTGGATTTCCCAGTTCTATTTTTGGCCCGACTGTGTTTGGTGATCAACCTTGTAATTTCCCCATAGTTTCCCTCTTCTGTTCTCTCACCCCTCCCCCCCCCCCCCCTCGCTCACTCCTTCCTTTCTCCTGCACTTTCTCTCTCTCTCTCTCTCTCTCCCTCAGTCTCTTCTCTCCTCTCTCTGGCTCATCTCTCTCTCTCTCTCTCTCACTCTCTCTCTCTCTCTCTCTCTCTCCCCCCTCCTCTGATCTTTATCTTCTTCTTTTTCTCTCTCACTTCCTGTCTCCTCCTCTCCCCTTTCTAATTTTATTTCTTGTTTGAATCTTTAGTATCCTTAACTCTTTTCCTGGTAACTCTCAAGTACACAGGAAGTTGTGTTATGGGGGGGGGGGGGGTTTCCGCATGAACCTGGTGGATATTTTCTTTTGATGTCAGTTTTGTCTTTTGATGTAGCGGGCCTTAATATCTGTCCATCTCCCTACCTGCCTCCTCACATTTTGTCCTACCTGTTCCTCACTCTCTGCCTGTCTGTCACTGCCTAACTCTCTCTTTGTATTTGCAGCTCTCCCTTACTCCCCCTTTCTCTCTCTCTCTCTCTCTCTCTCTCTCTCTCTCTCTCTCTCTCTCTCTCTCTCTCTCTCTCTCTCTCTCTCTCTATCTCTCTCTCTCTCTCTCTCTTTCTCTCTCTCTCTCTCTCTCTTCATACCTTAAATTGATGTAGAAGGTTATGTGTTGCTCAGTGCAGAACATTTCATGTCCAACCCCCTCTCCCTCACACGCATATTAAATATGTGTACTTTTAAAAACTCATTTGCCATCACCCCTCGCCTTTTTCCTCCCACAGTGATGACAACTGGGGGGGGGGGGGGGGGGGGTTTGTACCCTTCCTGCTACCTTCTTCCCTCTGTATCTCATCTTATTTCTTTCTCCCTTCTTTCTCTCCCTGTCTCAGTCCCACTCTTCTTTTCTTAATCTTTATTTTCTCTCTCTCTCTCTCTCTCTCTCTTCTCTCTCTCTCTCTCTCTCTCACTCTCACTCTTCTCACCTCTGCTCACCCTTACTATCTCAGCCTTCTACGCCACCTTCTCTCCCCTCTCCTTTCTGTAGTTGGAAAATCAGAAATAAAACATTTTTTCATTTGGGTTGGTATCCTGCTCTATTTTTTTTTCTGGTTCTTCTACATTTGCTGTGCTGTCCTGTCACCGTCTTTTCCCAGTGGATATGTCCAATACACTTAAAATTGTGTTGTGGTTGGGGGAGGGGGTGGGGTTTCGGCATGAGGCTAGTGGTTTTTTTTCTTCTTTGATGTCTTGTTATATTTGTTAGCAATTCTGGCATAATTTTTTACTCTTTATCTTGTCTTCCTTCCTGCCTCTCTCTCTTTAGCTGTGTTTGTCACTGCCTTCCTTTCAGTCTATCTCTCGATGTCTCTTGCTTTATGTCTGTTTGCCTCCCTTCATCACTTCCTCTTTGTTTACCTCGCACATTCTCCTGCTGTGCCTTTTTTCTCTTTTTGGTTCTCTCCCTCTGTTTGCCTCTCTATACTGTCCCTCTGTCTCTGTCTCCTTTATGTCTACATCTCTCTCTCTGCTTGCATCTCCCTCTCTCCCTTCCCATCTTTCTCCCTGTCCCTTCTCTCTCCCTCTTGTCTCCCTTCCTCCAACTCCCTTTGTCATATTTTTCCTCCTTCCATATCTCTGTTTCTTTCTCTTCTTCCTTCTCTCTTCATCTGCTCATTTCTGTAGCAGCATTACTTCTTTCTGTATTTGTCTCGATCTCTGTCTTTTGCTGTCCCTTCCTCACTTTTCCTTATCATGTCTCTCCATCCCTCCCTCTCATTGTCACCTTTTTTCCTCCTTCCCCTGTCTCTCTTTCCCCTCCTTCCTCTACCTTCATCTGTCCATCTTTACACTGTCTCTCCCAGTCTACCTCAACATATGTCTTACTCTCTGTATGACTCTCTCTCTCTCTGCCCCCACCCTTGCCCTTTCAGGTACCATGTCCAGAACAGACATGACCTAAGTTTGCTCGCCTCTACCTCCAAGTCTACAAAAAAAATATTTAAAAACACTATATCAAGTGCCACGACCGATTAGAAAAAATAATAGCAGAAGGCATGGTACCAGGAAAGGGGGTAGGGGCCAATCAACACAAATATGGGCACAGGATATAAGTGACTCCTTAAGTATAAGTACATGAGGTGAGAGATCGAGTTTTTTTCAGGCAGACAGGGATAAGAGCGACGTTCTCCAAAGGACCTGCTACATGATGATGATATCTGCTCTGGTATACCCACACGTATGGCACAAATGAAGTACCTTGAGTGCTCGGTACACCCTTGAACAAGGCAAAAATCTTGTTTCAGTATTACACCGAGACAACATTGAAAAAACTAAGGAGATCTTGAAAAGGACCTTGGAAAGTCTTGAAATGTGTGAATTTGGCTATGAACCCTGCTTGCCTCTCAAGTAGATGTAGTTCAACTTTGAAGGAAGCCCCCAGTTAGTTACAATAAATTGTTTGTACTCTGTGTACTTTTTAAAATACAGTGAGGATGAGAACTGTGTGGAAACCGAGCATATATGAAAAATCACTCCAGTAGTATGTATCCTTCATTTGATAACCTTTATCATTTTATATTACAGATGATGATGAGAAGAGTGCAAAGCGACACAGAAAAAAGTCCAAAAGGAAGAAACATGCGTCACAGTCAGTAAGTCTTAGATGATCAGTAAGAACCTTGATGAGATTTTGAGTTGATCTTGTATGTGCTTCTCTCTGACAACATTATAGGTAACATTTCAGAATAGCTGTTAACACAGCAAACGTATGAGAGGAAGTCAATAAGTTAGTCATAAATTGTTGTTCAAAGAAAAAAACTAAAGATGATAACTTGAAAACTGTTTATTCTCACACATACACTGTCCCTTTTTGGCTATATTCCAAATAACGGTCTTAAATTATCGAGGCTGAAAATATACGCTAAGAGGGCCTCAGTCACGTGTCAATTACCGGCTGGGGAAGGACACATGGTCAAATGCAGCCACTTTTGCCTTTGATACCTTTAAAGGTTTCCAGAACAGACAGGAAATGGTGGCAGCGGCACTCGATTTGCAACAGAGTCAGACACAGTATCTTGATGAAAGCGCTTATGGAAAAGGGAATCTGTCCTTGATTGATGAATTGGATAACAGCTGTTTTGTATACTCACCAGGTAGCTCTCCGCCTGGGTTCATGGACCTCTTAGCCATGTATTATAGCTCCAGAAGGATATGCAATTTTACCTGTACTATTCAATGTTTTTATGAGCGAGCAAGATTGCCTGCCTGAAAACACTTGGATATGGCAGAATATTGACATTTGCAGATGATGTTCTTGTATATAGGAAGGGGTGAGATCAGAATCAAATAGCTGAAGAGTTACAGGCAACAGTGGATAAGGTGATTGACTGGTGTACAGAGATGATTGCTGTAATCAACCCAGAAAAGGCAACCGTCCTGTGTTGTTCTTTGGACAACAGGATTGTTAGAGCTGATGTTCCCAGACTCAAAATAAATGACAGGGACATCAAAAGAGACAGCAGACTGCAGTACCTGGGAATCACCTTTGACAGAAGTTTGTCTTTCAGGGATCACATAGAGGGAGTTGTGACAAGGGTTCAAAAAGGGCTACATGCACTTAAGATTATGGCAGCAATGGACATGGAGCAGAGAATGCTGTTCACACTTTACCAGCACTTAATCATCTCCGTGATTGATTATGGATCGGGGTTACTCACTGTCTCCAAGAGTCAGCTAGAGAAACTGGAGTGCATACAGAATGAAGCTATGCGGCTAATCCTGGGATATACAAGAGACACCCTGATTGTGTGCATGCGATACGTCCTTGCATTGCCAACTATTGCAGATAGGCTAAAGGTGCTGCAGGCTAAGTCATACCTTAGAGTTGCTGCAGACAGGGAACAACCTAGCATACGACACCACAACATCTAGCATGATGGAGATGGAGGCAGTAACTGCAGCTCTCCAGTGGCTAGAGAACAAGATGCATACACATGTCATGATTGTAAAAGACTCTGAAAGCATGCTAAAAAGGTGAAGACAGATTGTAACCAGTACTATAAGTTTTGGAACTCTGCGCTGGTTGCTGAAGATGAGGACTGAGCATGCATGGGGAAGCCTCGAGTGCTGTGATGTCAATTCTTGACTCAACAGTATGAATCAGCATTCACATTGTCACCTCTTTTTGGGGTTAAAAGCACTCCTTGACAATCTGAGAACACTGTCATAACCTTTTGCACTCAAGAAACTGCACAACAGCACGTTGATCTGAGTTAAGTTATTCAAAAACCCACATCACAGCACTCAAAGCATTTCCATAAGTGCTCTGTCCCCATCCTCAGCAGCCAGTAAAGAGTTCTGATACTTAAGGTGCCAGTAGCATTCTGATTAAATGTCCTTCTTGTCTTTCCTCTGAGCCTCAAGCATGTGCTAGAACTTCTCGTCACTCCCCGCAGCATCAGTCTTACCAGACTGGTGATCCTCTGAACTGTAAACGCTCTTCCACAAGGCACTAACCATGTCTGCCTTATGCATTAGTATTCCACCAATTTTTGCAGAGCCAGTCAGTCTGTCCAGCTGTTCATCTCCCAACACACCGGCCTGCCCCGGTGAAAAAATCCAGATAATACTCCTCGCCCTGTCCTCCGCAGTGAAGCATGCCACTCTGCATAAAGCATGCCTGTCCTGACCTTCCTCAGCATGTTTTTTGAGTCAGTTACAATCACAGTGTGTGTCTTTGTCATGTTCTCTAACCAGCGGAAAGCTGCAGTGACTGCCTCCACTTCCATTCTTAAGCTGGATGTTGTGGTATCATACGCTAGGCTTTCCTGCACCAAACGTTGACCATTAACTTTTGCTAAGAAACCCCAAGCACTTCTTTTGCCTCTTGACACTAGACTTCTGTGTAAATAATCAAATCCTTTGAGCAAGCATTATCTTGAATTAATTGCTAAATTTCCACCTTCTTAGCACCTGCTGGCCAGTCTCTGCGCTTTGACTCACTCCTCTCCTCGCCTAATGTTCTCTAGGATACAAACCCGTCTGATGGTCTCTTCTGCCTGAGCCATTCATGACTTTTCTCTTATCAGCCTCTGACCCTTAACTGCACCCAGAGCTTTGTGCAAAGGGTGATCTGTGTCTGCAGTTACCCTGAGATATGACTTCGCCTGCAGCACCTTGTGCCTACCTGCAACGATTAGTAAATCAATACATACACGCCACTGGGGTGTCTCTGGTGCCACCCAGAATGACCCGCATAGCTGCGGTCTGTCTATATGACTTTTGGAGACGGTAAGCAGTTCCAGGCTATAATCAACCACTGACAGGATCAGGTGTTGATATAGTGTGAAAAGCATTCTCACTCTATATCAATTGCAGTCATAGTCTTAAGTGCACTTAAGTCCCTTTTGGCATCTTGTCACAACACTCTCCACGTGGTTCTTAAAGGACAGGCTCCTGTCAAATGTAATTTCCAGATACTTCAATTTGCACTCTCTGTTGACGTTTCTACCATCTATCATTAGACTTAGGATTCCTGGGGAGTTCCATTAGAAAGTCCAATAGTGTGAAATGAATGACGACTATACTCCCCCCCCCCCTTTTCAGACCTTCTCAAATTGGACTTGCCCAGGTACTTCCCACAAAATCTCAGAGTCCCTGAGATGGGGTGAACCAAAAGAAAAATACCAAAATTTAAATACTGCCCTATTGAATTTGATTTTAATCAACTAGCTGATGTGTAATTTTTTAATTGTCCTATCTGCTGTAAAAAAATTTTTTATCTTAGAATGAATGCATAGTAGTTAAGTTCTTTTATTGTTTTTAATTGAGAGGCAAAGCAGAGTTCTCTACATTCTGGTTTTATCCCACTTCCACTATTCAAGAATTTGAAAGTTTAATTAAAAGTACTTTTCACAACTGATTAAAGCAAGTTCCTCACTTCATGTTAAATTTTTTTTTTTAAACAAATTATAATTTGGCCTTTTTGATGTAAAAAACAAAAACGTGTCCTATACAAGTAAGAAAAATTTTTATTTCACAATTTTGTAAGTGTGATACTTCAGGATGAAGTTACTTTTGTAAATATGTTGAGAAAATTTAATAAACTGAAAATTATTTGTGCAGGCATCAGCATCTGGTGCATCTGATAATGAGAAAGACCACATAAGTTCATCCAGAGCATCAAAGAAAAGAATGGGTTTGACTGAAACGCAACCTGGTAATAGGGATAAACAAAAAAGCTCCAAGGTAGGATGATACATTTGGTAGACATTTATGCATATGCGATAAACACACATATGACTCGGTACTTTTGCATGAAATTTAAAAAAAATGTTTTCCTTATATTAACTCGGATATTATTGTTAGCTTTAAGCCTATAATCCCAGTAATGCTAAAAAATGAACTATGTAACCTTGGGAAAACACGCGTATGACTTGATACTTTTGCATAAATGTTTTTTTTTAAATCCTAACTTGGATATTATTGTTTTAGCTTAAACCCTGTCATCCCAGTAACGCTACAATATGAGCCATGAACCCATGGGAATCTCCACCCACACCCCCTAATCCCTATAAAAAGGGAGTACCATTTTACACAGGTCACGAACAGATGTATTTAAAATGTGCTGTCAACAGTTTATATGCATTAAAAAAATTTTTTTCTTCATGTGGAGAGTAATGTAGTAATCACTAAATATAGAGTCAGTCATTAAAGGGAATATATTCCATGGGGCCTCAAAACTCATGTATCAGGGCCGACGTCTACCACTGAGGCTTACAGGAAAATTTGACATCAGCTTGGCTTTTAAAAAGCTGTTCGGTACCACCCACAATTCGTTTTTTAGGTAATATATTCATATCCTGACATCTTTAACATTTATGCAAGCTCCAACATAGCTATTAGCAGTAACTGGGCGCCCTGTAAACACATTACTATAGAAAGGTTGGTTAAGGGGCTTTCTCCAGAAGTTGGACCAGCTGAAAATGTCATTTTGGTGGCTTGTCAAGACAACAGGATTAAAAATGACTTGTTGAGTCTATATTTTATATTCACATAATGTGAAAACTATTTTTTAAGGGTATTGGTGATGTAAACCTTCAGAGTATTTTTTTAAACAACAATGTGAATATATTAATAAATCATGTTTTAAGTGAAAAAAAAAAAAAACGAGCATTGTGACAATAATAACACTACAGAAAACAGATCTCTTGGTGGTGAAAGTTTTACAAAGGAGCCATTCTGAATACCATTTATGAATAAATAGCAGAAGACACAAGGTTAGATGAAATAACATGTGTAAGTATGTGTGAACAGGTAATTAGGTGAGGATCAGGCAAGGAGGGACGTATAAGAGGAAGTATGATCAGTGTGCTATGGGGACAGTTATCTACACCTCCAGACATTTGCTGTAGGAGATGGAGCACCTCTGGGTATGCCAAATGTGTGCTTTGATGTTGATTCTAACACCAGAAAGTGTTACAGGAGTAAAGAAAATTTTAAAAAAAATGATTCGGAAATATTATTGTCTTTTCCTAATAAACCATGAAATCTTAATTAAATGTATTTCTACCTATTCTACACTAAAAATCAAATACTAGGGCTGTACCGAATATTCGCTTCGTTTTCGCTTCGGGGCCGAATAGTGGACCCAATAACTATTCGGTATTCGGCCGAATAGTTGCGGTCGGGCCGAATACGAATAGTGGTTACCTTATAACCGTTTCTGGACTGGTGGAAAAAAAAAAAACATCAAGATTTCCCACCTTGGTTTATACTGTGAAGCGTTATCTTTGTGCACCACCTACGAGCTTACCAAGTGCCCCTTCATTTCCATCTTGTATGTGTTGCGAGTATAGTGTTTTTAGGTGTTTTTGCTGTAGAAACAAAATGCAACACTTAAAAATGTAAGAGGGGCAGAAAAGCAAGTGTTCTAGGTTGTCGGCTTGATTTCTTTGAGTGGAGTGTCCTCTTCGTTGATTCTTTGAAGTAACGGGAGTTCGTCATCATTTATGGGTGTCATATCTGTTCTTTCGTCGTCTCGTGGAAACGGCAGTGGCTGAATGTTTTGATCGACGTTTGGTTGCTTGGTTGTCTTTGTTGTTTGATCTTCTGGCGTTGGCCGCCTGGCGTCTGGTTTCGTGAGCTGGGGGGGGGGGGGGGGGGGGGGGGGGGGGCCTGGGCGACTTGTAAGGACGGCATTGTTTTCTTTGTTGGCGTTATTTTTGTTTTTGATGTTTCGCCTTGCGTGTTTTCATTTTGACTCTCTGTATTTGTCGTATTTTCCTGTTTAGTACAGCTGGAAATACCTTCAGTGAAACAAAAAGCTGGCCTAATGCTAACAACATGGAACGAAGGTTTTTCATGGAGGTGTGTCAGCACACGAACTAATTCGTGCTGCAGGAGATCGCAGATTGTGGTGAGGCATAATCGCCCATGCCAGCCGGCAAAGCACATGATGATGATGATTCACTATTCGTATTCGGCCGAATAGTTGGTCCAGCTATTCGTATTCGGCCGAATAGTGAAAATCACTATTCGGTACAGCCCTATCAAATACTACTCATTTTTCCATTTTGAGGGGAAAACTGTTACTAAAAAAATAATATTTAAACATAAATTTATTGTGAAAGAAAATCCAGCATACATTGTAGCTTTAACCCTACCAGACCTGAGGCCCTGAACCTAACTGTCCCTATATCCTGAGCTCCTGGTCACTAACACGAAAAAACCAACATGATGTAAAAAAAAATTAGTTACATGCAAACAAGTGGTTAGAATAAGATAAAACTTGGAGACATTGTAGAAAAAGGTTTACCTTTCATCTAGCGTCAATCTTCCACCTTTGTGTGCCAATCCACCTAGTAGGATTAGTCTTGTTTCACAAAGTAAGCACCAGATGTTGCTGTTTGAGGGACACGTTCCTTCTCTTACTATTGATCTAGTTTTCAATCTAGAATTTTCATAATTCTCCTCCTCACTCTAGCTCTAACTGACTGTGTCACTTCAACTGGGAACGTATTCTTCATGAACGTATTCACATTCTGAATTACCCAAACTATCTATCACCTGTTGGACTGTCAAAAGCCTAAACCTACGTCACTTTCTTTTCGAAGCCGCTCGATTCATTGAGAATTTTCCGAATTTTTTTCACATCAAACCACACAAAGAAATCTCAACACACATGGGAAGTCATTCGCAATGACTAACAACAAAGTCTGATGGTGATTGGCTGGTTATTTTTAGTCTGTGGTGCATATTTTTCACGTACTACGTCAGTTCCCGGAAAAGTGGGCCAGCGGTTTAGCGGCTGGTTAGGAAATTCCCGGAAATACGGGCCAGCGGTCTGGTAGGGTTTACCCACTGACTAGCACCAGTCCTAACTTACCCAAATACTGCATATTTTTTGTGTGTATTCGAAATACCATAGCTTCACAACTCTTTAACATAAACTCACAATATTTTTTAAATACTAAATTGAATGGAGAACAAATTTAAGAAGAAACAAATTGTGTAGTCTTGCTTCACCTCATCATGTGTTTGTAGATTGGTGCAAAAAAGGCAACTGAAAAATATTTTTCTGGCAGCAATATAGACTAAAATAATTCCATAATTTTACAACTATTTAACATAAACTCGTACCAGATTGAACAGAACAAATTTCAAGAACAAAAACCGCCCTTAATGTTTAAAAAAAATAAAAGGGGTGAGGGGGGTTGACATTAGGAATCTTAAAAGCTCAAAAGATCATGTAATTAATCAATTATATACTATGTTATTCTCTGATGTTACTTGTTATCTTCGAAAATAAAAAAGAAATTGACCCAGTCTAAAATTAAAGACCACTTTTATTTTCAATACCAATTGGTATTGCCAATCCTTTTCAATCTAACGTAGTAAAAAAATGCATATACACATTTTTTTCACTTTTCCAATGTGCCCACATTGGTGTAGTGGCTAGGCATTTCCCTCCAGACCGAATATCATGGGTTCAAATGTACACCAAGTTGAAATTTGTTTTGGTAGACATTATCTTGGCTCCCATGTTGTCCTAGCCCAAAATGGGTACCAGGTAAAGTCTTGGAAAGTAAAGGTAGCTAGCATGATGTTGACCACATCACCTACCGGGTGCTGATTGGTCCATAAAAACATGAGTCTGGCATTAAATACCCGATGCACCACTAGCATGAAAAGGTTCAAGCTAAACCCCAGACAGATCTCACCTTGAGTCTTTTTTCCAGCATGTCAGTTACGTTACAATTTTGTAGGTCTGTGCACTTATCCATCAGCTTAGGGTGTGCTGTTTGGTCTGTACCCTTTTGTGAGCTGGAAAGAGACCCAAAAAAACTGAAGTGTTTATGCATAAAAAAGCATATACATTGTATGTAATATATTTTACCTTCTGTAAAGACTTGTCTTGTCTTCAAAGACTTTCTTAGTAGTCTCACAATCAGTTCAATCGTTTGGTTATGAGGTTGATGTCTTCTGCTATCTCTTCTCATGTGAACACAGATAAAACTTATTTATACAAATTTGTTGTGGGTTGGGGGAGGGTTCTCCTGTGATGATTTCATTTGGTTTATATAAAAACAACATTCAGCTGCAATAGGCTGACAAAACAGTCCCAGATTTCAAAGTTTGATTCATTTTGATTAATTAGATATAGACAACACATTTCAAATATTATGATATAAACATAAGCAGGCAATGTAAATGTGTTAAGTGACAACAAAGCTGAGATAAAAATAATTCAGAAAAACTAATAAGAAAAAAGTGAAAGTAATACTCTCATCTGCCCAGGAAAATGACCAATGTATTGCTCTATGGAGACCTTTATTTAACACACTATGATTAATACCCCCAATATGTATGCCCCGGTGCCCCATTTTGATGAAGAAGTTAATTGCCCATTGCCACTTAACACTTTCAGGCCCTTGAATTTTGACTAGGTCAAAATACACTAATGGCTCTCATTAATTTCTTTTTAAAAAAATGAAAGAGGGAGTGGTGTTAAAAAAAAACCTTTTTCCCAAAGAGGAATGAATGTACATTTTGATTCTAATGATGTTTTTCTTTTATGCTGTTAAATAGTTTTGAAAAAAAAAAGGGGGGGGGGGGGGGGGGGGAATAAAGCAGGTGTTATGTTTACAAAGACACAATTTAAGAAACAAATTATTCAGTTACAGTGGTTTTGCAGCAGTGAAGAGCAGTGAATATACAGATGTTTCTCGTGTGGGTTCTGGGGGCCT